GCTGTGTTCCAGGATCATTCCTGGAGCAGGAGGCATCCCTTCCTCCAGGTGTGAGTGCTGTGGCCAAGGGGCAGCTCTGTGCCAGGCAGGTGCCAGCCCTGGAGGGTTTCTGAGCTGCAATCCCACTGTCCTGGTCTGTGGTCAGAATTCAGGTTTTTTTTTTGCTTGGCAACCCGGGCCTTGTTTTTGGACTTGTTTTTTGGTTGTTTTTTCCCCCTCTTGGGGGTTACCCCCTTGGTTCCTTGGTTTTCCCCCCTTGGTTCCCCCCCTTCAGGCCCCTTTTCCCCCCTTTTCCCCCTTGCGGGGTTGTTTCTGACTCTTTTGTTTTTTCTTTTGTTCCCGGGTTGCCCCAATTCCCGGTTTTTTGTTGGGGGGGCGGCTTGGGCTTCCCTTTGTTCCCTTGGGGCTTCTTCGGCCCCCCCGGCTTGGCCCGGCCCCTTCCTTGGGGCTTCCCGGGGCCTTTGGTCCTTGTGCTCACCCCAAAAGTGGCACCTGCCTCCATGGGTGGAGTTGGGAAATCACAGCCAGTTGGTCAATCATGAGCTCCAACAACCAGAGGAGCAGGGATATTTTAGGTTTGAGGGTTTCCCATTATGCAATGGCACAGACACAGCGTGGGGGAGGCGTTGGGTTCTTCTTGCTTTGGGTTTACTAATAATGAGGGATTTGCTTGGATTTTTTTTCTCAAGTTCAGGGAGCAGGAGTCTGATGAGGAGCAGCTGAGGGAGCTGGGGGGGCTCAGCCTGGAGCAAAGGAGGCTCAGGGCCCTTCTGGCTCTGCACAGCTCCTGCCAGGAGGGGACAGCCGGGGGGTCGGGCTCTGCTCCAGGAACAGGGACAGGAGGAGAGGGAAGGGCCTCAGGCTGGGCCAGGGGATGTTTAGTTTGGATATTGGGAAAATTTCTTGTTGGAAAGGTGGTCAGGCATTGGCACAGCTGCCCAGGGCTGTCGTTGTCGCTGTCCCTGGGGTGTTTGAGAACCTGTGGTTGGGGCACTTGGGGACATGGGTCAGTGCTGGCCTTGGCAGTGCTGGGAATGGCTGAACTCGGTGTTGGAGGCCTTTTCCAAATAAACAATTCCCTGATTCTCTGATCTCAGCACGAGAACAGGAGACTGTGGCTGCTCCCATGCTGCCGTGGTTGACCTTTGGCAGGTGCAGTAAAAGCAGTGGGTGAGGAGTGGAGAGCAGAGTTGAGCACGGGCACTGTGCCTGACAGAAGCAGGGAATTAGGAGAAAGAGGAAGCTTGAGGACAGGCAGGAATGCTCTGTGCCTGGGGCAGCCACGGGGGGAGCTGGAAAGGAAAGTTTGTGATGCAGAGAAAGGGCAGCCCGGGCTGTTGGGTGTCTCTGGGCACCAGACCTGCTGCCTCCTGCAGCTTTTGTGGTCCTGGGCAGTTGGCCATGGACCATCTCCCTTCTGCCAGGCACATCCAACACATTGTGGTTCCTCATGTCCCAGCCCCTGGCAGAGGAGCCCTGCCCTGATCAAGAGCTGTGGGTGTTGTGTGACTCTGCAGGGCAGTAGGCTCAGCTGGGCCCACTTAAATTCATGGTTTTTGCCTTCCTGACCCTGAAGATTTTGAATAACTCAAGATTCAGAAGCAGCCAGTGCATCTGGAATATTTCTGACTCACTCATCGCGCTGGTATCTCGACACCGGCCCAAAATAACTCCGTGCTGTGGCACAGCTCTGCTGCGGATGGAGCAAAACTGCACCAAACCCGTCCCGGGGAGCAGAGCGGCCCCTGCAGCGAGCCGGGGGGAGCAGCCCCGGCTGCCGCGGCCCTGGCCTGGCCAGGGGGACGCAGGGGTGAGCGGGGCCCGGTGCAGACCCCCTCACCCTGGGCACTGCCACGGCCGGAGGAGCCACAAGCTCTTGCTCAGCCCTCGCCCCGTCCTGCCGCGGGGCTGATGGGGATGGCTTTAACAAGGTGGGCTGCAGCCAAGAGCGGCCCCGCCCGGGGCTGGGTGTCCTCCCGAGGGAGCAGCACCCCGAGGTGCTCAGACAGCCCCAGCAGCCCGGAATGCAGCTCAGCCCCATCCCCGCGGGGAGCCGGGGACACCGGGGCGGGGAGAGGGGCACCGGGGCGGTGGGCGCGGCAGGAATTGTCCTGAACACACCCAGGACGGGGTGGCAGGGATACCGAATACCGCTCCTTGTCCCCGGCGGGCTCAGAGGGGCTCCCCCGGGGGTGGGGGGTGACCCCAGAGCGGCGCAGGACCCCGGGCAGGGATGAGCCGCACCCCGGCCGGGGCTGGCCCCGCGGGGACACGCGTGGCCCGGCAGCGTCCTGGGGATGTCGGAGCAGCTCCTGCGCGGCCGTGGCCGTGCCGGGAGAGCCCTCTCCTGGTCGGTGTGCGAGGAGGGCGGCTGTGCCCGCAGCGCCCAGCTCGGCACCGGGCCCTGCTCCAGCCTCGTGGGTCCCTCCGGGAGCTGGGGACAGTCCCGGGCTGCCGGGACCCCAGGGTGCTCGCTCAGCTGAGGGTGCTGTCCCGGGATGGAGCCGTGTCCCCGTGCTAGGACAGCGATGGAGCCGTGTCCCCGTGCTAGGACAGGGATGGAGCCGTGTCCCCGTGCTGGGACAAGGATAGAGCGGTGTCCCCATGCTGGGACAGCGATGGAGCCTTGTCCCCGTGTCCCCGTGCTGGGACAGGGATGGAGCCGTGTCCCCGTGCTGGGACAAGGATAGAATGGTGTCCCCGTGCTGGGACAAGGATAGAGTGGTGTCCCCGTGCTGGGACAGGGATGGAGCCGTGTCCCCGTGTCCCCGTGCTAGGACAGGGATGGAGCCGTGTCCCCGTGCTGGGACAGGGATGGAGCCGTGTCCTTGCACAGGGACTCACCATCCCTGTGCAGCCAGGTGTCCCCACAGTGGGACAGGGTCCCCAGCCAGGCAAAAGCTGAGAGGGAGCTTGGTGACACTCACCATGTGTCATCCATACCGGGAGCCACGCCGGGTGTGTTTCCTGACTCAGCACGGCAACCGTGAGGGACAGGCCAGGCCGGGCTTTGGGATCAGCGGGATGAGCTGGAGGGCTCCAAGGACCGGAGCATCCTCACAGATGAAATCTGGGGACCCTCCCGCCCCGTCCCCAACCTCCCCACGCGGGTGAGAAGCGGAGCCCCATCCTTTTCCAAATCTTTATTGTAAATAAATTCTGCGACACTGCAGGAGGCGGCCGAGGCCGGAGCCGAGCCCGGAGCGGCGGCTCCAGCGCGTGCAAAGCGGAGCTCGGGCCGGGGCCCGGCGGGAGCGGAGCGGGCGGTGCGGGCGGCGGGGCGGCGGGGCCGGGACCCCGCCCCGCTGTGCTCGTCCCCGGGACGGGACGGACCCCTGGGCGCAGCGGGGCTGGGGGGCTTTGCTCTCTTGGCTCTGGAAGCACCGGGTGCCCCCCAACCCCGCCGCTGGCCCTCCCGCCCTGACAGCGTTAAAATCATTAAGAAAAAAATCCCAGTATTTATATATATATATATCTATATATATCTATTAATGTCCCCAAACCTAGTGACAACGGTGGCTTCTTGCTCTGAAGCGGGGGTGTCCCCTCGCCGCAGGGAGCACCCCGGCACGGTGGCTGTGGCAGCTTGGGGACACTGTGGTGACAGTGGTAGAGGTGGGGGGTTGATCTCAGACCCCTGATGCCCACGGGGGCCCCAGGTCCCCACGCGTCCCAGCCCAGAGCTGGTATGTCACACAAGAAGCCACCACCAGATCCCAGTCAGGGGATGTCCGGCCACCCCCCCCTGCTGTCACCTCCCAACCTGTCCCCTGGGCTGCCACCACAGCCACGGCACCTGTGGGTGTCCGGTGGGGCTGTCACAGCAGGCTGGGTGCCACCACACACTTTGGCCGTGGCTGGGCTTGGGGACACCCTTGGTCACTCTCTGTCTCCATGGCAAAGGGACCCGTTGGTGGGCAGGGACAGGGACACAGAGGGGACAGCCCCACACTGCCGTGGACAATGGGTATCGTCCCCAGGAGTGTCCCCACACATACACACATACCGGGTTGTGTCACCAAGTGTCACCAGAGATGTCCCCCCTCCATGCTGAGTGTCACCAGTGGTTAAAGGGACCAGTGTGGCCCCCAGTGCTCCGTGGTGCTGTGGTTTGGGTGGCTCTATAGAGCCACCCCATGCAGGGTGACATTGCCATGTGCCACAGGGAGAGGGGGATGCCACCCCCCGACCTGCCATGGGGGTGGGGGACAGCCACTCTGGGGGGAATGGGCACCACAAGCCTGCCCTGGGGCTGGGGTGACAAGTGCCACCCGGCCAGCTGCCCTGTGTCCCCAGCCCAGAGTTCACCCTGTGCCCTGGTTCCCTGGGGGGCCCTTCTGTCCCCCCCAACCCCAGTGCCACCAGTTTGTGGTTCGCCTGCCTGAGCTGGGGAAGGTGGGGAGGTCTTGAGGGAGAGCTGTCACCCGTGGGTGCCTGTCCCACCACTGGGGACTGCAGGGTCCCATGGCTTGGGGGTGCAGCCGTGACATGGGGGATTGGGGGAGAATTGGAGGGGACAAACCCCACACGGGGCTGCTGAGTGCTTTGGGGGGCGGGGAGGCACATCTGGGGGTGCAGGACTCGGCCCCCGTGGGACCCTGCCCAGGCACCGGGGGAGGGGGACACGACTCCAGGCCCTGAACTGGGAAAGGGCACTGGCCTGGCACTGGGTATACTGGCCTGGCACTGGGGAATACTGGCCTGGCACTGGGGAATACTGGCCTGGCACTGGGGAATACTGGCCTTGTCCTGGGGACACTGGCCTTGTCCTGGGGTACACGGGCCTGCCTTTTGGGGTGCCAGGGCCCCGGCTGGAAGATGCTGCTGGAGGGTGGGGGGCTGTGGGCTGGGGCTCCCGCTGGCCCCGCAGGTACATTCATTCATTCATTCATTCATTCATTCATTCATTCATTCATTCATCCATCCATCCATCCATCCATCCATCCATCCAGTGCCGAGTGCCGCCTGCGGGGGCCGGGGGTCCCCCCGTACATTCGTGGCGGTGCGGGGGCCCGGGGGGCGGTCCAGGGTGCCCCCCCCCCGCTGTCCTCCTGGCCGGACCCTCGGCAGCGCCGCCCCATTTAATTGCTGTTAATGAGGCGCTGGGGGGGTGGGGCAGAGCGGCCCCGCTCAGGCCCCCCCGGACCTGCAACACAGAAGTGGGGTGCGTTTAGTGGGGGGCTGTGACACGGGGGTGACACACGGGGGGACACTGAGCTGAAATGAGCCAGCACCGGGGGGGGGCTGCTGCCAGGCCCCCCCAGCCCTGCTCCCCTTCAGCCGTGGGGGCACAGAGATGGAGACAGCACGGCCGGACACACAGCACACGGACAGACGGCCCCGCGGGCTCCCACGCCGTCAGGCTGCCGGACGGTGACGGTGACAGGGACGGACGAGACGATGGGGGGGACACGGTTACACTCCCTGCTGCGCCGGGTCGTACCTTCCTCGGCGGATGTTCCTTGGGGGGGTGGCAGGGGGAGAGAGAGGAGCATTAGTGCCACCCCCGTGTCCCCGCTGTCCCCCCGGTGCGTGCCCCCACCCCGGTGTCCCGGTGCCAGGCAGGAGCACACGCGGGGGCCCCGCCCCAGCACCCCATGCTTGGGGACAGACACGGCCACGGGGTCCGGGTGACGGCGACACCCCAATGGCACATGCAGGCAGGGCAGGCAGGGCCGGGGGCAGGCAGGGGCTGGGACAAGGGACCAGGCAGGGCCAGGAGACCAGGCAGGGCCAGGAGACCAGGCAGGCTCAGGGGACCAGAGGCCACACCAAGGGGGATGCCCAGCCGGGGGGACTGGCAGTGCCCCAGCAGGGCACGGCCTGGCCCTGGCGCGGTGACGGTGCGCAGGGGGGACGTGGCCGGTGACAGCAGCAGGGGGACGAGCCATGCGGTGGCTGCTTACTTAAATCCCCAGCCTGTCCCCCCTAGGACGATGGCAGCCACCAGCACGGCCCCCGCGATGGAGCCGATAATGATATTGGTGCCACTGGGACCTGTGACAGACGGGACAGGAGGGAGGGGACAGGGTCACACGTCAGTGGGAAGGGGACACGGGGACATGGGGACACAGCCCCGGAAATGCTCCGGTGCCATGGGGAGTCGGGAAAGGGACAAACCCAGCCGCGGGGAACATGTCAGTGGGGAGGGCACGGAGGGACACCAGGACACAGCCCCAGGGCAGTCCCAGCGCTGTGGGGACCCGGGAGGGAGCAAGCCCAGCCACAGGGACCCACCTCAGCGGGGATGGGATGCGGGGACAGGAGTGCAGTCAGGGGTCCTGGCGGAGGCTCAGGGGCTGCAGAGGGGTCAGGGGGCTGGGCAGGGGTGACAAGGCTGGAGAGGGGCTCACACGTGTGCCCTGGGGATGCCAGGCGTGACCCAGCGCTGTGGGGACCTGGGAAAGGGGCAAACCCAGCCATGCCCAGCTGAGCTGCGGCACCAGGGCGGCGGGACGCTCTTGAGCCCGGTGTGGCTGGGGACAAGGCGGGACAGCCCAGCCCGTGTGGCCCGGGGATAGCAGGGAGCCCGTGTCCCCGCGGGCACACGGACCCTTGTATCGCTCCGTCTCCCCCGTCGGCTTCGGCTCAGGGATGGGGTCGTAGACGCTGCAGTCCTTCCCCGTCCACTCCGCCCGGCAGATGCACTTCCCCTCGTTGCTGCAAACCTGCGGGAGCACAGTGTCACCCCCGCGACCGTGACACTCCCCGGGTGTCCCCCCGGCCCCGGGCCTCACCCCGTGGTCGAAGCAGATCTTCCCGTCCCAGCTGCCGGGGCAGGAGCTGAAGTTAAAGGCGGTGGCTGGAAGGCATTTGCGGTCGAGACAGAGCATTCCGGGCCCGCAGGGCGTCCCGTCCTCCACGTAGCTCAGGTCCGAGCCGTCCACCAGCTGCACGTGGCCGCCCCTGCGCCGGGACAGCCACAGCGGGTGGCACCGGCACCCCGGGGAGCCGGAGCCGTGCCCGGGCCCGGGGTGGCACCTACCTGCAGTCCACGTAGCGGTTCTGGTGGTAGAAGGTGGTGGTGGCGATCTCCCCGCTGAGCTCCCCCAGCCGCGGCGACCCCGAGATGTTGGCGCAGAGGAGGAAGCCGCAGAGGACGTCCCTTGAAGGCAGCGGCGGTGTCACCAGGGCGGCAGGTGGCACCGGGGGGCCGCGGGGACAGGGGTCACTCACTGCTTGTTGCACTGCAGCCAGCCCAGCCCCTCGCGCCCGCAGTTCCCCCGCTCCGTCCCCTCCACGTTCAGCTTCTCGTAGCAGAAGCGCTCGGCCGAGCCTGGCGGAGAGCGAGTGTCACCTGCGTGTCACCCCTGCGGCCCCCCGGCCCCGGCCAGCACTCACTGCGGCCCCACAGCGCGTTGCACTGACGGTCCCGAGTCTTGCAGCGCCCGCCGTAGCACCGACCCTGCGGGGAGGGGACAGGGGACAGGGCTGGGGGAGCCTCAGGGGACAGGAGCACACTCGGGGGTCCTGGAGGAGCCTCAGGGGACAGGAGCACGCTCAGGGGTCCTGGAGGAGCCTCAGGGGCTGCAGAGGGGTCAGGGGACTGGGCAGGGGTGACGAGGCTGGAGAGGGGCTCACACATGTGCCCTGGGAAGGTGCTGCAGGGACAATGAGCCCCCCACACACATCCCCCCATGCCGGGTCCCAGGAGCACTGCAGGGATCAGAAGCCACACGTGTGCCCAGCCAGGGGACAGCAGTGGAGGCTCAGGGCACCCCAAACCCACACCCAGGTGTGTGTGTGTAGCTCAGCTGTGACTGGGATTGCTGACAAAAAGTCACAAACTGGTTTGGGTTGGAAGGGACCTTAAAGCTCATCCAATGCCATCCCCTGCCATGGGCAGGGACACTTTCCACCAGGGAAGGTGCCAATCCCATGCAGGCTGGCAAGCCCAAGCCCTGTCCAGCGGGGTCTTGGACAGTCCCAAATGCACTTCCAACATGCACAAGCCCTGATGCTGGAGCCTGTGGAGATGTGCCCAGGCTGGGCTGAACTCACCTGCTCGTTCTCACAGAAGTATCCATCCAGCTTGTGGAGGTTGGGGGGACACTGTGGGGACATGCACGAGAGGTTGGGTGATGCCACAAGGCCCCACGACGTGTCCCCCTGTGTTCCCTGGCCCCACTCACCTGGCTGGAGTCCCCGGTGCAGGTCTCAGGGATGTCACACTCGTTCACAGCCTCCCGGCAGGACACTCCACGTGGCTCGTACTGCCCGGGCACAAACCCAACTCAGCAGGAACGGGACAGGACCCCACTGGATCCACACCCGGACCCTGCCCCCCCGAGCCCGCCGGATGCTCCCCGCCCCGCACCTTGCAGCCCTTGCAGCAGAGCCCGTCGCTGCACATGGCGTCGTGGGTCAGGGTGCATTTCTTGCAGCAGTTTCCCCCGCTCCTCGCACACTCCTGCCAGGACAGCAGCAGGAATCAGCCCCTGGCAGCCCTGCAGGCCCCAGAACGGGGGGAGGAGCAGCCCCTGAGCCCGCTCACCGCCAGCGAGCCGCAGTCGCACTCCTCGCCCGCCTCCACGAAGCCATTGCCGCACTCGGGAGGGTCCAGGAGCTGCCGGGAGCGAGGGGGGACAGGACACACACACAGAGGTGTGACACA